CCCCTGCCCGCCTGGCTGCTTGCAGTTAAAGTGTTACCAGCCAAGGTACAGCAGAGCTGCTGTGTGCCTCGCCTCCCAGGGCACCCCGGGACAAGGCTGGAGCAGCAGGAGGGAAAGGTTATTTTCGTGGCAGCTCATTAGGCAGATGGGGGGAAGAGAACGCAGGGAGGTCAGGCAGGAGGAGGATGCGGTAGCCAAGTAGAGGCAACCAGCCTCAGGCGGGGCAGGTTTGTGAGGAAACACGGAAGCTATGGGGCTCGTTAGTTAGGGTCCAGCCTGCCATAGGAGTCATTGCAAGTATTTGTGTTTTCTGAGACACTGCATGAGAACGGGCACCTCGTTTTGCCTGCAAAACCGTGGCTGGCTTCAGGCACTGAGTTACAGGTTTGTTGCACAAACAACAAACTCTGGCATGGCAACTCCCCAGTGCTCCCCAGTACCTAAGAAGTGTTAGAGCACCAGCAGGCTGCCTCTGCTCCCTGGCTTGCCATTTTAGATAGCTAAGGTATGCCCCAAGTATCCGTGTTGCCACTCAGCTGCCTCATTCATATTCTGTAACTGATTCAATTAGGAACAACACCGAGGGAAAAGTGAAAGTCCAGCCCTGCTCATGCACTGAGCCTAAGACAACAGCATTTTCTTGTTTTCTGAAGAACTGGGGATGAGAGAAGGAGTCCTGACGATCTCTGGATTTGTTGGCTTAAATTCTTCCTTGTTTGGAAGTGCTTTAGGATAGGGAGGCCAGCTGCTGACACAGCTGAATAGTACCTTGTTCCATGCCTTCAACTCAGCTGAAACTATTCACAGAGCAAGAATGGACGATGGAGTCTAATTGCTTTGTAACTAATCTGAGTGAGGAAGTGTAATTATGATAGCTATCACTGGGGGACATTTCAAAGGGAAAGCACGCTAGATATTGTGACTAAGCACTTAGTTTTTTCCATCAAACTGCTTCCAGCCCAGCAGCTAGCTCAGTGTACATAATAACTCTGTTGACTTCAATGAAATCCTTCAGCTCAGATCAGCTGAGTATTTGTTCTGTCAGAGAGGGCCATAGAGCAGATAGGAGACATGAGACATCACCTCACCTGCTCCCTTTTCCCCTTCCTCCAGACCCTCAGCCTCCAGGCTCTTTTTCAGTATTTTGTCTTGTATAGTTTTAAATGAATCAAGCTACATCTGATATTACTCTTAAACCACTCGATTATTTCCCCTTTAAAATTCAGATTTTTGTTCACACTCAAGTAAAAATACATATCAATATTTTATAAATATCTGTAGTGTATCCCTAGGCACAGATTATATTGTAATAATAAACTGGCTGGCTTATTTTAATAGTTCCTGGCTTTTGGCTTTACGTAATACTGCAGGTGTGAATCTAGTAGCAAAACTGTAGGTGTGAATTATTATCTCAGCATAATACTTTCTTGTGCTTTATTGCTTAATTGTCTTCTTCCATAAGGATTCTGCAGTTATTACTAGGAAATAATGCCAAGCTTTTCCAGGAAAAGAGTGATACATGTTTACAAAGGTCAGTCTGATTTTAGGGCACGACTGGGTGTGGAAAGTGAATGAAAGATGTTATTAAGTGAATTAAAAGAGTGAATACTGAGTCCTCAATAAAAACAAGAGCGGACTAAAAGATGCTCCAGAGCCCCAAAGAGCTGGCTAATTTTCTGGCAAATGTTTGGGGATTCCCAGGTGGTGAGTGATACCTCTGGGTGCTTACATACTCTGTGATCTCCTCTTCCCTCTCTATCCTTCCCACTGCCATACTTCTGCCAGAAAATTAAAGAAAATCAAAGTCGTATTTGCAGCAACACAGAGGCCCAGATTGCAGCTGTAGCCTGTGGGAGCACACCCCTGAGCCACCCTGCATTGACTAGCCCTGAAGCAAAGGGATGCAGGCAGCACTTCGGAGCAATGCAGGGTGGGTCTCCACCTGTGGGTCGTGCTGCTATTTGGTGAATTCAACATCTTTGTTAATGATCTTGATGAGGAGATTGAGCACTCCCTGTAAGTTTGCAGGTGATACCAAGCTGGAAAGGAGCGTTAATCTGCCAGAGGACAGAAAGGCACTACAGGGGGAGCTGGATAGACTGGATTGATGGGCCAAGGTAAATTATATGAGCTTCAACAGAGTCAAGTGTTGGGTCCTGCATTTTGGTCACAACCTCAGGCAACCCTGGGGAGGAGTGGCTGGAAATCTGCCTGATGGAAAGGGACCTTGGTGTACAGTTGGCTGAATATGAGCCAGCAGTGTGCCTGGGTGGCCAAGAAGGCCAATGGCATCCTGGCTTGGATCAGGAATGGTGTGGTGAGCAAGACTGGGGAAGTCATCCTGCCCCTGTCCTCGGCACTGGCGAGGCCTCACCTTGAGTACTGTGTTCAGTTTGGGGCACTTCAGTACAGAAAGGACACTGAGGTGCTGGAGCAGGTCCAAAGAAGGGCAGCAAGGCTTGTGAAGGGCTTGCAGAATGTGTCCTGTGAGGAGAGACTGAAGGAACTGGGGCTGTTTAGTCTGGGGAGGAGGAGGCTGAGGGGAGACCTTATTGCTTTCTTAAATACCTGAGAGGTGATGGCAGTGAGAGTGGGGTTGGTCTCTTCTCACTGGTGACCCTGTCAGGACAAGGTGAAATGGCTTCAAGTTATGCCAGGGGAGATTTAGGTTGGATATCGGGATAAACTTTACAGAAAGGGTTGTTAAGCACTGGAACAGGCTCTCCAGGGAAGTGGTTGAGTCACCATCCCTGGGTGTGTTTGAAAACTGTCTGGATGTGGTGCTCAGGGACATGGTTTAGCAGAGGGATGTTAGAGTTAGGGTGGTATGGTTAGGTCATGGTTGGACTCGATGATCTTGAAGATCTTTTCCAACCTGAGCAATTCTATGACTCCATGACCAAATGAACAGGGAGAAGTTCCAGGCATGTCAAGGTGCCCCGCACTCATCCTGCCACGTGAACACCAAGACACCTCCTGTAAGCACTGACACGCTGTGGTGTGGGCACCAGGAGTGTATTTCAATAGTTGTAACGAGTGAAAGCTGCTTCTCCTGTGAATCACTCAGCCTTCCACCATATACCCCTGCTGAAATTTTTCCTCCTCCCTCCCCTTTTCTCATCAGCTGTGTGCTGATGCTCACATTCATTGATGGCTTCTGTTCTTCATTTACGCCTTTTGGTGTCTGTTTGGAAATGCTGCCTCAGAGTAGGGGTATACACATGCTTTCAGCTAGGTAAAATTTGTATGCCTGGCATCTTGTTTTGTTGGAGAATAGCAAAGATATTTACTTAAGAGGGACTTCCATCATGCAGAATAGGAAACTTTTGATTTGCCCTTCTATTATTTTGCAGAACTATTAGTGGAAAATTAGGTCTGCAAAATAGCTACAAAATATGGATGCAGATCTAGGTTTTGAACATGCATTGTTTTATATGGGCTCCCCAAAACATATACTGTATGTGTGCTGAGTGCTATCTTGCCTTACAGGGGATCAAATGGAAAGCCTTCACAGCTGAAAACCCAAGGGGCACAACATTACCTGTGGCATTAATAGGAGCTATTAATGCAGCAGTTTGTCCTTTTGTATGGGTGAGGCACAAAAAAAATGTAGTACCTGGTCCTTCCCTTTTCTGGATTTCACCAGGTCCAGCCCATCGAGTATGAGCATGTTTGACCTTGTGGTTTGCTGTTTGCCCAGTAAGTAGACATGATTTGATCAAAGAGATCTCAGTGGTTTTTGCACTAAAGTAGGTTTCTGCTGTGTGGGATCTACCTAGGGGATCCATGATGCTCTCTTTGAGACAGAGAAAGTTCTTACACAGAAGACTTTGAATTAAGAGTCTTTTGTGAACTGCAAGATTTACTATCACAATTCATATAACTTAACTGTATTACTGCAAATTTGAGTAAAGTGGCAAATTGTCCTCCTTCTTATCTTTGAGGAAATGCAGTGTGCTCCAGCCCTGTTGACTCCGAAAGCAAACCCTACACTGCTTTGGTATATATGTGAATTGTAAGTACCATTGGAATATCAACAAACCTCTCTTCTCCTCTCCCCCTCCCCCTTATGCAGCTGCTTGGAAACCCAGTTCTGCAGATATATGGCAAGTTATGAAGGAGATGGAAGCATTTAGAGAGCTGGAACTTGATTAGGAACTGTCAAATTACAAGCAAAACTGAAACTCCCTTAAATCTCTCCCACCCCTCCTCTTTGTTATTAGGAACTAATACATGAGTCTTTGGCTAGTCTGTCATTCCTTGATGCAGTTTGTTTGTGGTTAGTGAGCATCTGAAGCTCTGGGCAAGTAGTTTGGACTTTAGGAAAAAGTCCTGACCTGGAAGAAAAATGGAGAATGGGTGAACTGCAGCACCAAGGATCACATGAGGGAGTAGCTGGTGTATGCATGCCAATGCAAGAGTCTTCACTCTTTCATAATGAGAGCTACATCTTGACTGCCAGATGAACCACCTCCTTTTGTACTTGAAATTGCAAAATAGCTCTGTAGCAGCTCTAGCAACTGCTCAGAGAGAAAAGAAATAGGAAAACATTTATGGCATCCTTAGCGTAACAGGTGTTTCTACAAAAAAGACTAGTTGTTCGTTTTCATCTGGCCCTTTGCTGTATCTCTGTTTGGTGCTGCTTCTTTGCCAGGGTTGGAATAGAGCCAGCCAACTTTTTGCAGACCCCTAGCAGTGTTTTTAGGCTTGTCAATTTTGGGATTGTTTTGTTGCGTGCATTTCAGTATTGCTTCTTGTTTTCAATTGCGCCGAGTAAATTCTTTTTATTGTGCTGTCATGCTGTATTTTGTAGAAAAAAAAATGTAGAAAAAAAAAAAAAAGACTTTTTTCTCATTCCCGATTGCTATGGTGGCCTCAATCTTGGGTTAAATTACAGGAGAAACCCAGAAACAGTTAATCAAATGTTAAACAAAACGAATGAGGCTTGCATGGTGCCCTGAAGGTCATTAGACTCAAGGTCTGAGCAGCTGCCAAGGGGAGCGAGCTGCAGCGCAGGAGCACTCATCTGAGAAATCCCTGCTGCTGGACTTGGAGGGGTCGAATGCAGCACTGACTGCAGGCGCCTCCCAGCTGATCTCAGCTGCCATGGCTGGACGAGGGGTAGGAACTCTTTCCTCCTTATTCTGCTGGCCTAGAGAGCTTTGGAAGTGGATGGGAGGGCTGCAACTTGCCTCTCGCCAGCCTCTTGGCTGCCTCCTTTTCTGCAGAGCTAGCAGATAGCTCTAAAATCATGAGGACAGACTGTTGCTGGAAATTAAGTGTGATGAAAGGGCCTGTGAACCACAGCTAATATTTGGAAGTGGCACAGGGGTGCTACAGTCAGCACGGAGGGACCGGTGTTGAGCTGTATGTCCTGTGAACCACTTTCCATCCCACCCGCATCTTTCCATCATAGTGACTGTGGAGGGGCTGCTGTTATCTTCTCCCTGCATCTTGTCTCTTTCCAGCTTTGAGGTGGGAGCAAAATCACAGGGTACGGCTGCAAAATGAAAAGAGAGAGGGAGAGCATTGTGATGTCCATTCAATTTCAGAGCATCTTCCAGTGTTTCTTTCTGGGTTACAGAAGAGCTTTGCCTAAATAATTCATTAAGTGAAAACTGCTGTGAGCAAGGATGAAGATGTATCCAAGTAGCCATGCGCTGTTACTCATGAATGTTAGTTTATTAAGCCTACCTATAGATCTCTTAGTGTATCTGTGGGATGATCTTGCTCTTTTATTTCTCATTCATGCCATAATTGCAGGAATCCTTTATGCCAGCGTAAATACTGATCTCACTGCATGTTGGAATGACACAGTTTATAAAATAGGGAGCTGCAATAATAAGGAGTGTTTTCTGAAAAAGTAGTAGGTTTCTGAAGGAAGAGTTTATCCAAAGGAAGCTGAGTTTACAGATCTAACTCATTCAGATCTTTCTGGTTCTGAAGCTGACACACAAACACACACAGTCCCGTATCTATTTCATGGGCACATTCTTCTCATCTCAGTGCGTAAAGGTCTTGAAAGCAATAGCTACTGGCAGTACCCCAATTCAACATATCTACTAGGTCCTTTCCAGTTACAAAATCACTACGGACACATGCCCAGATGAATGCATGGCGTAAGCTACCTTACTATCAGAAGCAATGAAAGTAGCTGGGCGTCCTCTGGGTCTTGGTTTGTGGGCTCTTTTGTTTTTTCAGTCTTGGTTTGCTGACTACAGCTCAAGAACTGTTGCTGGAGCAAACTCCCTAGCATAACCCCTGAAAGTAATCCAGCAATCTGCAAGACTTTTTAGATCTAATAATAAACTGCAGTGAGTCTTCATGATTTTCCAGATTTTGTGGATTAATGGGCTGCAGGTGGAAGGAAAAAAGAGCAGGTTTGGCTTTCTGTAAATTATCTCTGATTCAGTGGATACTTCCCTGCCCTGCCCTCGTGAGGACTCACCTGTAGCTCTTCCTCCAGTTTGGGGCTCTCAGCACAAGAAGGATGTGAACCTGTTGGAGCAGGTCCAGGGGAGGACCACAAGGATGATCAAAGGGCTGGAGCACCTCTCCCATGAAGACAGGCTGAAAGAGTTGGGCTTGTTCAACCAGGAGAAGAGAAGGCTTCTGGGAGACCTCACTGCAGGCTTCCAGTATGTAAAAGGAGCTTATAAACATGAGGGAGATAGACTTTTTATGTGATCTGATAGTGACAGGACAAGAGGGAATGGCTTTGAACTAAAAGAGGGGAAATTAAAGTGAGATGTTATGAGGAAACTCTTTACTCAGAGGGTGGTGAGGCACAGGCTGCCCAGAGAAGCTGGGGGTGCCCCATTCCCTGGAGGCGTTTGAGGCCAGGTTGGATGGGACGCTGGGCAGCCTGAGCAGGCTGTGACAGCCCTGCCTACAGCAGTGGGTTGGAGCTGGATGGGCTTTCAGGTCCCCTCCCAAGCCAGTCTATGATTCTATGATCTGTTGGGACTTATGAGGGCATGATCTACCTGTATACTCACAACAGGTATTTTAGATCAGCATCAGGAGGCCTAACTGCTGACTTAAACATAGCATCTCCAATTTACATCATCTGTGTTTGAACCTAGTGTTATGTGTGTAGGCATGCAGTCATTGGATTGACACTCCCTCCTGGCAACTCAGCTTTTGACCTGTGTACTTGTGAATATTTGTAGTGTCAGGCTAGAGAAATGGAAGTACATCTATGAACGCAAATTCTGTGCTTTACTGTGTTTTCCTGTCTGCTCAGGTAAATCTTAGCTACAGTAGCTACCTCAGAAAGCTTTTTGATGCAAACAATCAGAGTAAACAAATGACTTGAAAGCAACCCTTGTGCTTTGTACAGGGTAAGTACATCCTGAATCTCCAGGCTAACAGGAACAGTTCTGTACAAGCTGACATTAATTTTCCAGGCCTAAATTTCAGCAATTGTCATGCTGCCTACTCATACTTCTCTGCCTGGAGGAGTCGTGGCCAGGTTTTATCTTGGTGGTCTCTGCCCTGATGGTCACTGAAACTCTTTAGGCTTATTTTGCACAAAATTAATAATCGTCAGGCTATCTAGGAGTTTGGCTCGGGTGCTGTATTTCACTAATGAGTATCCAGTTGAAGAGCTTGTGTTTAAAAAGAATTGTTATCTAACGCTTACTGGCAGGTTTTGAGTCTCACATCCCTGTTGAGATTGATTTCCTGTACATGTCTAATTACTGATGACACAGTAAGATATAAGCTGAAGACCTATCTTGCAACTGCAAAGAAAGCTTGAGGCCAAGTTCCCTTTGGCTCAAACAGAAGGAGGCCTCATTTTATTTCATTTACTAAAGTCACCATAGAAGGATCCTCATTTGAGAACTTGCAGCAATATAGGAAGTGTGTACAAAACAAGTCCAGACATCAAACAGGGCAACTCCCAAAATGTCTCTGCATTTGTAAACATGCTTCACATCTGCTCAGCTTTGCAGTAGGCATGAAACATAAAACTTGGGATATCTTTCTAATTCGTTTGAATGGATGCTAATTCAACCTGTGGTTTGTTGAGATGGAGGCTGCAGCTGCAGCTGGCTTGAGAAAGTGTTTTAAGGAAAAACAAAACAAAACAACAAAAAAAACCACCCTGGAGAAGGAAAGGTATCTTCATTTAAAACAAAAAAAAAGAAGAAAATTAGAAAAAGATTGGTTTGCTGATCTGATTTACAATGCAGTCCGATTAATAGTTGTAGGCTCAAATGCCTAAACTGCACCATAACACAGAGAAGGGCAGAGCAAAGGAAGCCATAAGGCTTTTAGCCCTTTTCTGGGATCTGACAACAAGTCTTTGATCAGAAGGATGCTCACTGATGATAAGAGTGTGGAGGTAAGAAGAGCTTCTGTTTCACAGAGATATGCCAAGAGCATGTGTGAGAATGTCTGGGCAGCCTCTACTGGAGCCTCTGTTAAAATTCTGTGTGACCATATCAAGTACGGACTGGGTGACTTCAACAGGGGCACTATTCCAAATATCTTGTATAAAATCTTGCAGTGAGAGCGTGAGCTTGACTGTTTATATGCTTCCACTGGGGCAAGGCTTATTCACAAGTTAGAAAGCTATTATATTTCATCAGCTGAAGGCAGTTTTATAACAGCGTAGATACCTGCAAAGCAGAGACAATACTCTTAGAGATCACATCAATTATAAATGTATATATAGTAGCATCCACCTATATTTGGTACATAATTATAACGTGTGGAGAGTATACAGAGGACAGGCCTAAGATGTGCACTGTAAAGCAGGTAGCATGTGATGACCTTTGTCTGTGGCAAGGCACTAAATTAGACTGCTTGTTTCCGATGTAATGTTGTAGTCACTATTCTGTCACCTGGATCCAACTGCTGGAAGAATTTTTTTGCCCACAGCTGGTCATCACTGTCCTTTTTCTGCAAGTTACATCTCTAAGATGTACTGGCAGAGCTGCTGATCTGATTTGCCTTGTGCATTTCAGTCACAATATCTACCTGTCCATCTGACCATTGCAGAGGGTGTTTGTCCATAGCCTGAGGCTTTTAGCCTGAGGCAAATCATACAGAGTACAACAAGAGCTATCTGACCAAGAACAATCTGAGCTGAGAAGTTTGGGGGTCTGAAAATAAAAGAAAAAGTTCTAACAGTTGTACAAGCTTCTATACTCTTTGAGTCCATAAGTACAAGCATCGCTAATCATGCTGTCATTAGACCACCTTCACACTTTAATTAATGTAACTACTTTATTTCTCTCCTCATGCCAGTGTCTGGTCAGACATTTCAGCCTGGAACACTCATTTCCAGGGGAAATGCTCTTTTTTTATATATAAAGGATTTTTTGTAGATGTAGAGCCACTAAATCTGTCACCAGTTAAATGTGTTAAGCACAATTTCAGGAGTGCTGCAACCCCCTGGCAAACCTTGAGCTCCAGGATGTAGATGTTAAATACCACATAGGAAAACTGTACGTGTTAGTGGGAGAGAAAGGGAAAAATAAAGCATCCTAGTAGGTAAGGTGATGTCTGCTGTTCAAGGACTTGAAAATGGCCTGACCTTCCACCCATGGCAAAACTGCATTTCGTATGTGCTCTGTGGCTTGTGTCACTTGGCCCTGTCCCAACCTTAGTTCTAGCGTGGCTGCATGTCAGCTATCCATTGCATGCATAAGTGTTGTGAGTTATCATTTACATGACAGCAGTACCCAGGCTGCCCCACTGTGCACCATGCACCGTGCAAATACACGGCGAGAGTCAACCTCACTCCAAAGCTCTCGTGGTGTAAAAAGGCCATCAGAAAGAGCAAGAAGGGAAAGAGAAACAGAAAGAGCTGAGAAATGCATCCAGGGTCACACAGCGTGGAAACAAGGCAATGCAGGTTCCTGCTCGTGGGTGTTTTCATGCGTTCCCAGCAGCAAGACTTGTGTCACTTAATGCTGCAGAAGGTGACTTCTGGGTCAGAGCTATGCTCAGGGCCTTTCCCACTGAGACAATTCGAGAGTATTCCTCTTCCTGCACATTTGCCATGTCCTACTGCCAGAGTTACTGTCCTATTGCCCCGGTCAGTGGAAAAAGGCACACATACCTATGTAGTGATCTTCCTAGTGCAAAGTCCAGCCTTCCAGTTCCAAGCTGCTCACATTCAGCAGGCTGCTGCTATAGCGGGAGATAAACCTCCTATTGCCCATTAGCTTGCACAGTCCTCTTTGAGCTAGAAGATGCTGTGCAAAGGATAAGATACGTTGTTAATACAGCCAGTTTTCCAAGCGTGCTTTATGAGAGAGGTTATTTTTATTCTTCGTTGTTTTTCTAGCTCACAAAAATGTCAGATATCCTCCAGAGTACAATAGACTTCAGCCATGCTGCTCTTGCCTGTTTCCATTCATCTCCTTAATAGAATGAGTGAGCAGTGACCTGTCAGCACTCTGCAATATCACCATCCTTCCTGAACCATGTGAGTGACAAGGTGGGTAGGAAATGATGGCAGAGTGCTGATGAGATTAGCACTTCTTGATCTTCATGGAGTAAGAAATCCCCAGGACTAACTCATCCTTCAGTATTCTCAGTGACTAATAGGTGTTTTATCATCCTTCCAATTAGAAAGCATTTATCAGCAATCTTTGCTAACTCACTGCATGAATTGACCTGTCATTCAAACCTCAGCCCTTGGAACTGGTAATTAAGTTTAGCAACCTGCCTCAGCAGCTCTGATTGAGATATCTATGTGGTGTGTTTTCATGTTGTCAGGCAGACGCTTTGGGTTTTCCTTCCCAAAAGGAAAGGACTTCAGGAAAAGTGAATGAAGGCTCCTGGATGCATGGGTGGATGCAAGTCAGTACCTGCAATCATCAAATTCCTGCAAGCAGCACAGGGTGAGTGGCATGGAGTGGCTCCACCAGGGCTAGAGGTTTTATTTTGGTTTAGTTGACATTAGATGGGATCTGAGGACAGTGCTCTTTAGCTAAAATACCTGTTTCATCCCAGTGCTTTCCAAAGCTGCCTTGTCTGGGGCTGTGAAGGGCATCCATACTTCGTTCTTGACCCCTCCCTCAACTTCAGAGTTTCATATTTAAACCTGAGCTCGTGTCAACCTCTGACAGCAGAGAACGTTTTATCCACAATGTAAACTTATTTTAAAAACAGTCATTCAGTTTCCTGTTGAAGGGAGTTCCTTAAGGAGTTAGAACCTACAGACAAATAGCCAAACACTGAGCAGCAGCGTTACCCCAGGAGTTTCTGAGTTTGGCCCAGCCAGTAATTTGACATGAATGAAAGTGGTGAACTGAGGTCTGTGCCTCCCACAAACAAGTAAAATGTCTGCATTCTTGGGTTTACAGAGATAACGTTTTGGTAACTACGCTTCTGACTGGAGGTTTGTTTCTTGTAGTGAAGCTGATCTGTGTTGAAAACTGCTTCTTCACATCAAGATTACAGTGTGCTAACTTGAGGGTAACGCTAGTAATGTCACTGGTACTGCTGACACTGAGGCTGCATCTCCTGTTATTTCTTGGCCTTTCTCTGAGGTGTCTAGCTATTATTTTCTTTTAATGATGAGGGGAAATTTGAGGGTTGCTTGCACTGAGGAAAATCTTTTCCTTTCCTTGTCTAAATCTTGGGTTGATACCAGTTGATATAGGCTGATTTTCAGTAGCTAGCCCACTGTGTTTTTGGTTTTGTTCTGGAAAAAAAAAAAGCAAGCCACATCTTAAGAAAATCCTACCCTGTTCACAACTGCCAAGGGGCATAGAAGTGCCAGCATCTGCTACTCATTCCAAAATCAAGTTCAAGTTGCCTGGTTTGGGGTTTTGGAGGAAACGTAATTTGCAGAGCTCACTGAACCTCACGGAAGATTTGGTTTGGAATTTGTCTGGAACTGTCCTGAAATATTCCTTACCCCATTTTACCACAGGAAATATCCTGAGGGGATTTTTCTTCTTTTTTCCTGTTTCACTACAACAGGCTTTTCTCCATTCTGTCTTAAGAGACCATCTACAGTTTAAAAAAATATAGACCTTCATGAAAAGTACGAGCCAAACTTGTTATTTAAGGGACCAGTTCCCCACAGTTTTTGTCTTCTTGTTTAGGCTGGTCAAATCACACAGGAGAAAAGAAAGGCATTATCATGTGAGAGCTGAGAAGGTAACCTCTGTTAAAAATCAACAAAACCAAAACCAGCAACCTGAAAACAATGGGAAGAATGCCAAGGAGAGGAAAGTAATAGGAGTGTGATATTTATGTGATATGGCAAAATAATAGCACCAAGTGGTAGCATGACTTCCAAAGTATGTGCATTGTGAGTATAAAGCAGCACCATGCTTCTCCAGTTTGTGAGCTGCAGAAAGGCCCCTGACTAGTATGATTTATTTAAGAGATTTCTCCATGTTTCAAAGGAGGAAAAGTTGTCCTGAATGGAGCTAGAACAACAAAAAATGGTTTGGTTTCATTTTTTCATTGAAAATACCCAAAGGCTCTTTACAGCCTCCTGTTCTCTGAAGATCACGTGTACTAACTTCAGCCCCCCCCAAAAGAGAATGGAAGAAATCCTCTCAATTTAGTACAAAGGCCATCTTTTCTCACAAGGGAATGAGTACGGTCATAAATGATAGGATATCTGCTTCAGGCCCCTTTCAGTATATGTTCCTATAAGAGCTCTGGAGTAAGACAATCCCCTAGAGATCTGAGACAGCGCGTTATTAGCAGAAGCTCATCGGTTACATTTACTGGTATTTTGGGTACCTTTATGCTGAAGTGTTAGCATCAGCTTGAGAACACGTAATCTTTCTCCTGAGTCTGATTACATTTTCACTGTGCAGACAACAGAATATTCCTATGTATTTAATTAGTAAAAAGATTAAGTTTTAAACCCGCAAAGGCAAGGTAAGAAGTAAGGATGAAATGTCAAACAGCCCTCAAATTGCCCTTTTATCTCATTGTATCACTTACTGCCTGGGAGCCCCCACACCCTGGTGTGAAAAAAAACATTTGAATATAAGTCATAGCAGAATTAGCTGCAGCCAGAATGAACACCTAGACCTCTGCTGTGCTAATGATCAACTGAATCATTTCCACCACCTCAGACAGAAATGGAAATGTGTAGGGTTTGTGTCTTCTCAGTTGGGTAGTCTGCAACGTTTGTGATACGCTCTAAATACCCTTCATCATTTGTAAAGCAGTTTGATATCTGCTTGAGAAATTTCTCAATTACATTTTCGCATTTCAGAATATTAAAGTTCTCAAGCATCTGCATTATAGTTCAGTTAATAGCTTAACCAGAGGTTTATATTAAAATATAAACTGTAAAAAGGCTTCGTACTTGAAAATATAATGCCATTGCTTTACCTTTCTGGCTTGAGTATCCCCTTTCCTCCCCTTCCCTTCCCTCCCTTTCCCTTTTTTCATTTATTTATTTATTGGTGTGGTAAGTTAATTGGATCTTGCAGGTGTTTTCTGGAGCGCTGTGGTGACACAATTGTTCTATAAAGTTACAACAGTTATGTTTTTACCACAGAACTTGTGGCTAAAGAAGAGATCTGTGGAATTGGGAAATGGAGGCTCATGTTGTGCTTCTGCCAACTCACTTATTGTGTAGCCCTGGGCAAACTCTTTCAGCTGAAAACTTCAAGAGTGGTCACCTGGCTGACTATCAATAGCCCCAAAGGGGATAGTGGATCTCTGGCAAGTCCGTGTGCCCTGAAGTCATGCATCCCCAGCCAGACAGGGGTATCTGGTACCACAGCCAAAATCTGGATCCGGTCATGTTCATGCAAATTTGGCTCTGCTTTTGGTCAATAGTATAATGCCTTAGTCTCAAAGAAATTGAAAATCTCTATATAAAGCACAGGGCCATCAACCACAGCTGTGCTCCTCAGCTGTGGTCACTTTTGCTACAGATACTTCCTAGGGGAAGTGCAGATGGCTGTGCATGCATATCTCCCCCAAGCTCCGCAAGTAATTGCTAGGAAATTTTTTACTGGCTCTGAAAACCTGCATCTTCAAAAGTATTTGGATACCTAATTTGTCTTTGGTTTTTCCCCCACTGATTTTCATAGCTTGGAGAACGTTGTCACAGGACCCAATTTTAATGGCTCTAAGTGCAGCAAAATAGAGATTCTCAAAGTAGCCTGAAATGAACTTCCTTACTGTGGCATTGGGGTGCAAGGGATTTACCTTTTCTTACCTCCATGAAGAAGGACTGCCAATGCAAGTTTGTATTGCTGTAGCTTGACTGCTCTTCCTGAAGGAGTTTGTGCAAAGATGGCTCAGTTATCACAACTCTGCACTGTAGACACAGCTTCAGAGTTGCTGGCAACAGTCAGCTGGCTACTCGCTAACTGTGACCAGCCAAGCCTACCCTCTCTTTTCAACTTTCCCAATTTCCTGCACTCAGATGGATTGAAGTTTTCTACAGAAAGCTGTTCTGAAGTGTTTTGAGATCCAAGATTGCTCTGAGTGTAAAATACACCCGAGCTCTTCACTGCTGACTTGATCCATCTGTTGAATTGCCCATTTGCAACATGGAAATACCAGGTAATAGGTGTCCTGATGTAAATAAATGCTCACCCATGCAGCCTCCTTAATAGAGGAAATCAAAGCTGAACTTTCTTCCCACTTACCCTCCTCCATAGCTCTGGTCATTCAGAGATGTAATAGAGGACAGAGCTCTTGTCAGTAGGGCTTTTGAGGAACAGCTTGTTTGTTTTTTTGACAAACAGCTTGTTTGTCTTTTTTCTAAGTGTGAATTTACCAGGCTGTGCTATTCATGGGGCTGGAGACCTTCCAGTTTGCTGCACAGCTGGTTTTGTCCTACCTGGTGCTGGCCGGATATTGAGGAGGAAGGAGTGAGATTGTCATCAGAACTGTAAGCACAAACCTCTGGCCCTAACTGTGATTGAAAAGCTCCAGAAAGGAAAGGTTAGCAGAAGAGCATCTGTAACAGAGAAGTGTGGTTTCAGGAAGCTGGAGGGAATATGCAGCCATGCCCTGGTTACTTCTGTTTTCCTACCCTCAAACAATGTCAGTTTCAAACTGAAGCTTCAGACTTTTTCTCTCTTTTAAGAATGGAGGAAAAGGTCAAGCCAGAATCGACAGTGATTTCTTACAACCCAGTGTCCATGGCCTGGCTTTCCAAAGTCCTGAGCAAAGTCGTCTTTGCAGCTCCAGAACAACATGACCGAGCACATCTCCAGTTTCACAGTGCTACAGGCTGAATGAACAGAAAATTGCTGGTGGTTCTGGGTACTTCCAGTTATTATGCCACCTACCAGGTATCTAAAATGGAAGTTTTAGAGAGTTTGTTTGTTGGTTGGTTTGTTAGTTTGTTTGTCGCAAGGGTTTTAATTTTACTTCAAGTGATGTGAAGTGTCTTCTGCATGCTAACAAAGCTGAAGTTAAAACAGTGCAACTTTCTCATGCAGTTAACATATGTGAGAAAACAGAAAACAAAATTTTATGATAAAACACATGAATAAAGACTGAACTGGGAGGACAGCATTAAAGGCCAAGTGCTACTATGCAGTTTCCCATAGCTCTCTTTCACTTCACTTTTTAAGCCAGTCACGAGAGCTGGAGCAGAGGGCAGCAGACTCTCCCAGCTTCGTGCCATCCTCCCTGGGCAGAGTGTGAGTGCTGCTGGGACTTGGGGCAATGTGTCTCCTCCTTGGTGGAAGAGGGGGGCTGAGAGCCGTTGCAGACTGCTGTAAGTTGAAATGTGTTTCCCAGAGGCAGCTCTTTGTCCTGTGATTGGAGGATGAGGTAGGGAAATAGCTCACAGCCTACTTCCCACACCATAGCCTCCAGGTCTTGACCTCTGTACAAGGTTTCAAAACCCCTGCCATGGGCCAAGAGACGCCTTTTCTACTATTGCTTGCTTTCCTTTGCTGAGGCCAGCCTAGCTTTTCAACAAAATCCATTGGCCCAAACAATCTCCAGTTGTGAATACAGTTCATGACTGTGACTCCAACATGGGGTGTGAGGACATCTGCGTCTGCATGAAGGTGTAGGCTTCCCCGCTTTCCATTCCTGAGTCTACTCTCAGGGACTCTCACCAGAGCTGCTGGTGAGGAAGGGCAGTTGAGGCCAGCTTGTGCCGAAGTCTAACCCAAAATCAACAGGGAAAGCACGTCCCGCTTCAGGCCAGCTGTTGGGAGATAGCAGATTTCTTGGGTAGCTGGTACTTGACACAAATGAGGGGAAAAAAGGGTTAGGAAAGCTGGGCTGATGAGTTTTAGCTTGCTCATCTTTATGGGCTTCATGCAGGTGTGATGCTCCAAAGACCTAAAACTTAGCTAATGTCACTGGACTTCAGCTTTCTTCTTGCTGGAAACTTGGCCACCTTCCCAGAAGCAGAATTTGGCATAGAAGTCCTTGACTGCCTGTAGTCAGCATTTAAGCAGTAAAGGGAGCTGAGGCTGGGGAGGAGTGACCGGATCGACCCAGTCTGGTAAGAATGTATCTCCCCACTTGAGTGAGTGGTGCCCAGCATCTTTGTTAGGGTGAGGATGAGGGCTTTCTATGGAGAGCAGATGCAGCTGAGTCCACAGGATTCATCACCACCTCTGCTTTTGCTGAGGGATGAGAGAGGAAGCCTCCCTGGAGGAGCGCTTGTGGTTGCAGCTGCAGAAATCCCAAAGGAAAGCAGCAGGAAGCCGGCTGGCTAAACATGGAAGATGCTTGGAAATAAGTGCCCCATGGAGGTTCAGGCAATCTTTCTGAAACAGGTTTAAAACAGTTGGCCTCCACCTGGGTTAGACGGAGAGGCGGCTGTCTGGCTGCAGGGGCCTGCTGGCATCCCACATGAGGAGACCCCAGGCCGTCACATGGAGGCCTGAAGTGGGGCCCCAACCAGGACTCACTGGAGGCCCAAATCCTCAATGCTCTGGGGGTCCGAGCAAAGCTGAGCGAGTTGAACGAGATGCAGATGGCTTGTGAAGGAGGTGGGGTGAGGACACAGCGGGGCTGTGAGACAGAGATATCCCCTTCAGATGCATGCAACCCTGCGTGCGTCGGTGCTGCAGCCCTCTTAACGTGCTAACATGTTTTACGATGCAGTGCGAGTGAAACAAAATAGAGGCTCCTGACTCCTCGTAACTTGTGTAAACTCCAGATGTGACAATCCTGCTGCTGGCAAAGGGAACTGTTTATCCCCACACTCTCCTCGCATCGAGTTAGCTCCCGCTAATAGGAGCCTGCTGAAAATATGCCTGCATGCTACCAAGTGGCTGCATAATTGTCCCTCTGCCCCTTCCCAGAGCTGTACGTCAGAAGTGCAATCCAAATTCCTGGGCAAACCAGGCAGGGCCCTGGAGAGCAGTTTTTCGCCTCCCCTCGCTCTCAGGACTTGAACGTCATTCCTGAAGGATAATGCAGGATTAGGACAAGGGGAAAATGAGTGGCTTAAACGGCTCTGAAGTGCAGCAGGGCTCAGCAAAATGCATCCTTCTCTCCACCCCAGCCTGCCACCCTTTTTTTTTTCTTTTTTTTTTTCTTTTTTTTAAAATTATTATTGTTTTCCTGCAAGGGGAAAGAGGAAAGAAGGCCTCTGGGTTGTGAAATGGGCAGAAGAGGAACAACTGCAGTTGCCTGGAAGCCCCCAATCCCAGTAAGCAGGATGTGGCACAGGGATGGGGCACAGGGATGGGGCACGGTGGCAGCAGCTGCGTGTGGTTCCCCCATGGCCTCTCCCGGCACACAGGCACTGGTTGCTGGGGATTAGGGGGAACAGATGCACATAAGATGCTTACGGCCTTTTCCAGACACAAGGCTGCTTTCCAATCAGCTCAGAGGAAACAAGGTAATTAGATGGAGTCAGGGCAGGGAGCAGGAGGGAATTAGCCTGTCACCCAACCAAAGGCTGCAAGCCCACCCCTTCCAGTCCTCCAGTCATTTTTCCCCTCCATTCCACTGCTCACTCTCTCATTTCAAAGCTTTTTTTTTTTTTTTTTCTCCCCCAGGAGGCAGCTGATGCTGGCTGGCTGCTGCCAAACAGGTCCGGCCTCTGCAGCTGAGGCTGCTCATGGTACTTCAGCAGGGCGATGAATCATCCCTCCCCTTTAGTAAAGGTGATCTCCTGGGATGCTGTGACCCCCTCCCTGTAAGTATGCATGTGAAGGCAGCTTTGGCTGCAGAAATATGAATGGGAACTGACTGCTTCCCTTCCTGGTCCCTTAAAAGCCCCAGGAGTTGGGGTTTTGTCCACATCCCTAGAATGCCAACACCAGAAGCAGAGGCTGATGACCCTGAGCTGCATTGTGCTTGGCAGATCTGTGACACTGTGGGGAGTCTTTCTTTTTTAACTCCTTTAAAACGTTGCGTGGGCATGCGAACGCTCCCAGTGTGTTGTTATCTTTGGAGAGATTTTGCTGGTTAAAGTTCTTCAGATGCAGAGACTGGTTCTGTTGCTGCTATTCGGTGGGCAGCTGTTATAAAGAATTGTCCTCAGGCAACACAGGCAGTGATCTCGTCAGTGATTAAAGGGCCCACTGTTGCATTAGTTAGCATGTCCCCCCACCCAGGCCCTGCCACGCTTGTCTTACTTCTGAGGCCAGCCTGTGTTGCTGTGTTGCAGAGCTCTTCTCCTAGATGTTTTCTTTCAAAACCATCAGAATGTCCCAGGGCTTTTGAAAGGAGCTTTGCTGTGTCACGAAAGGCAGTGTTGACCACGGAAGGATTTTTTCCTAATGACGGGTCAGCTGGGCAGTAAACACATGAGAGAGGATCACCATTACAGCTATAATCGAGCAGAGCAGAGTTGACACCAACTTTAAGGCAAAGAAAGCAGCTGGTGTCTGAATTTCTCCAAATGAATGTGTTGCTTGCTGCTGGTACCTTGTGCACATCCTGTAGATAATTTTCTGAGATTGACATTAACCTCTTCTCATACATATGTGCAAACGCTGAGTGTTGAAATCCACTCGAGAGCTGGATGGAAAATTTCTGACAATGGTTTGCTGTCAGGAAATGCTGGTTCAGCAAGAGGAAAAGATGTCAACTCCGACAGAAAAAAAAAAAATCAGAAAGAAGCAGAAAAAAAAAAAAAAAAGATACCATTGCATATAACCTCCCGGGGGCTTTTTGAAAAAGTGTGGTTTATTTTTTAGTGCTGTGTTTTCATTGCTCACTGGCATGTGAAACAAGCAAAGGCCAGAGCAGAGGCTGCACTGTCTTTTTCGCTTGGCTTTGTTCAGTTTGTGGCACACAACTCCTTCTCAGTGCAATGCAGCAAGGGAGACGGTAAGCATGCAGCTGGGGGAAGAGGAGTTCCCTCCAGTAACCCATCCCAGAAAGAGTGGGGAGGCAGTGGCACAGGCTGCCCAGGGAGGAGGTGGAGTCGTTGTCCCTGGAGGTGTCCAAGAGCTGTGTGGATGTGGCACTGAGGCACACGGTTAGTGGGCATGGTGGGGATGATTTGGCGGTTGAATCAGGTGATCTCAGAGGTCTTTTCCAACCTTGGTGACTCTATGATTCTACGATTTTGTGTAAGGAAAGCACCTCTGTGGAGCACAAAAATCCCACAGAGACGTACTCTCATCCCCTGTGCTGGCTCTGCGCTGTGTGCTCCTGGCTTAGCGAGATAACCACCCACCTAGGAAAGTTGCTGGCACCCTGTGCCTCAGCACACTGCTTGTTTTTGTACCTCCAGTGCCGGAGGTCCAGTGATTCTAAAAATGGCATCTTTCCTGAACATCTGAGCCCTCGCAGGAGGACAAAAATAAATACCCAGAACAGGAACAAGACATGGGTGAGCTGGAAGGGTAAACACGTGTTGCATGTTAAATATGTGCTGCGCTGGTTACTGCTCTGCATTTTTACTCTGAGATTGAAAAGTAAACAGACAAAAAATATATGTTGAGGCAAAAACCTAAGCAAAACAGTATTCTAGTGCATTTCTGGAAACTGCTAACCAAAAAAAATCCTCCCAAAATACACCGCTTCACTAGAAAGGGTGGTTGTTTGGGTCAGGACCTCCCCAGTTAGCATTAAAACCAGACTGTAGTGCCACACGTGTTTTAGCATAAATTGCTCGGTACACTGTTACTGTGAGATAGTAATAATCTCCCTCTTCAGCACTGCACCATATAGTGGGGGATGCAGGGAGGGAGCATCACTTTTGTGATAACAAGGATGGCATAGGGGGTGCTGGGACTTGGCCTGCCATGCGTTTTCTCTTTGCATGGAATAGCTGAAGTGAGTCCTGCGGTGCTGACACGCAGCAAGTGGTTTTGTGCTGGAGAGGCTGGCAGAACCAATGTGTATTTCAGAGGTATTATGAGTTGTTTATTAGCAGGTCAAGGACCGCCTGCACTTTTCCTTATCTGTTTCTGCAGCAGCAAACGCTCATCTCAAAAACCTGCCCATCTGCCTCCCCCTATGAGCACCCTGCTCTGCCCCTCTGCACAGTTCTCCAGGCCATGCTGCCCATTAAGCATTTCCCTGAGCTACGGGGTACAGACTGAATGTCTGGGAATGTGTGTACACCTCACATGACCCGAAACAGCCTGTTTTTTTATTTTTTTTCCCCTGTTGCTCAGGTGCTCTTTTGCTTTGATTCTACCTCTTTATTACCTTCTGGGGTGTTTCTGTCTGGCAGTGTGGGCAGGGGCAGCTTGACATCTGTGTAGGCAGCACTCAGCACCGAGGTGCAGGCTGACCTGCTCGCAGGCTCCATGCATGCACTGCTGCTCTGACAGCCAGGGTGACTTTTCCAGCAAGATGCTGGAAGAAGGAAGTAGCTGATTCCCATCAGCCGTGTATTAATCAGGAGCTGGGTTTTTGGGGCCCTTTTGCATGCCTGTGTTCCTCTCGCAGGGATCAGCCTCTAAGTAGGATGCTGTGTGGCCCAAGCTTTGTCAGCCCTCATGGGCTCTGGCATTTGTCAGTCACTTTGTAAGGTGGGAGCTCGAGTGAACTCCTTTCCCCATTGCCAGATACCACCCATATGTAGGTATGCTTCTGGTCCCAGCTCAGAAGAGCTATTTGTTCTTGTGGCCTGCAGCCAGCAGGCAACAGAGCAGGGGTAGGGATGCCCAGGCCTCCCAGCTCCACCATGCCTGCTTTTCACCTTTAGCATGGGATGCAGCTGCATTGCAGCTTCTGCACGCAAACGCTGTTCAGAACCGAAGGGGCATGGGAGAAGAGGAAGAAAAATTGTTTTTCTTCTTTCTCTTCCCCTGCCTGTGCTCACCATGCTGCTGCTCTCCTCCTCCTGCTCCCCAGCAACTTGGCAGATTCGCTGCCATTGCAAATGTACGTGACTAATCTGTTACTTGAGGAACAGGGAAGGCGGACTCACAGACATGAATGACCCAGCCTGTCAGGAAGCCGATGAGATTCACTGCTGGGAAAAGTTTTTTCAGAGGGATGGTCCCCTCGTTAAATGACGGGAGAGAGATACTCATCGGAGGAGGAGATGCTGGCAATGTGGTCTCTACTAAGGAGGTAGCCGTTCCCCTCCCGGCCCGGGAGGCTGAGCAGGACGGCACGTCCCCCTCTCCCTCCCCAAGCACGTGGCTGCCTTTCCCTGCCATGGCAGGCTGCCATCAGCCGCAGCGTGCTCGCTTGAGGAGGGAGCACAAGGGGATTGCGGAAGGTCTGGCCTTCCAATTGCAGCAGCTCCTTGCTCATTCGTGTCTCGTAAGCGGCTCATGTGGAGGCTGGAGGCTGCAGGGATCTGAGTGCCCCAACCTGAAGACAGCTGCAGCCAGCACCTCTGTGGCTGCGCCTTGCTCTGTTTCAGCCGTGCATCCTTAAGTGATTCTGAGGCTTGAGGCCAGAGGGCTCTCTGCCTCGGAGCGCTGGTCCCAGTGAGAAGGGGTGATGTGCCAGGAAGCCTGTGAGGCGAATGTCATTTCATCATTGTTCTCCTGGGAGAGGTAGAGGCATCCAGCATGGGAACAACGGGGGTGGGGGCAGGGGTTAAACAGGAGAAATGGGATAAATTAAAGCAGGGAAACTGTAGGCTCAGAATTGGGGAAAAACATATGTTTTATAATAAATATTACATGTTTAAATGCTTGTGAGCCAAGAAGTATTTGCTCAAAAAATAAAATAAGTAAATTCCAGAGAATGACTAAACTATTGGACACAGCCCCCAACTAGGCACCTAGGAAATGTGCTGGATTAGTCTGTCAGCACACATTGCTAGTCCAGCTCTGGAAAACACCCCAGGAGTACCAGCTTTCCTGGCTTTCCACTGATTATATACCAAAGTGAAACCTCCTGAGGTGAAGGGCTTGAGCATTCACTAACTTACAGTGCCATCTAGCCCCATTTCAGACTTAAGGCTTCTATGAGTGGTTGCTAATTTTGTTTCTGTAACTGGGAGACTGAGTCACTTGAGCTTGAACCCACCTCTTTGGTCATGTGCTGTGGATTTAAGTATACCTTGGTGTGTATCTGGTGGCTATATTTTTAAAAAAATTGCTCATCACTTGCAAGCATAAATGTCCAAGTGGGAGCCAGCCCAACTGGATGTGTTGCGTGCATGTTCGTGGCCACTGTACGTGGGGACAAATCTTGGTGTTGCTTAAGCCACCCTGACACTTCTCATTGATAAGACCTTACTTTTGATATCTGAGAAGTCTGTCAGCCTGCAGCTGCTTGGCCTAAAATCTTCCTTTGGGCTGTTCCTTTGTACAAGCTATAGGCCTCTGTGTGGATTTGCCCATCCCCCAAAAATAGACACATGCAAAAGCAGTATCTACTATACACATTGCAAAATGTGGTGGGGAAGAGGGAGGTGGATGGTTCCACACTGCCCATGCTGCAGCTGCGTCCTCTCCTGAGTGTGGGGCAGGAAGGATGCTGCCAGCTCCTGGAGCTGGAGTTCGGCCCATTTGCGTCCTAGGGGCCGCAAAGCTGCTATGCTGGTTCCTTGGGCATCTTCTATTTGCCTGTGCAGGCTGTGGAAGTGCTGCCAGGGGCCGTGGGTGTAGTTTGAGCTTTAAGCAGGTGTGAGCCTTTCTTCATTGCCAAAGACTGATGTGAGGAAACTGACAGGGCTGCCAAAGGCAGCCAAGGAACTTTTTGCTAGAGAGGAAATCTCCCTTATTCTAAGTGCATGGGGAGTGGCAGAGTGTTGTTTTGCACTTTCTC